GTGAGTAAATGATGACAGAATTTTTGGGTGAACTATCCCTTTAAACAAAATAGGTGTCAGTCAAGGTGTCAGTGTGTCAGCCAAAAAAAGAGGAAATTAAAATTAAATAAATGATTAAAATAAATAAAAAAATATTAAAATATTAAACAAAAACTAAGCGATTGAAATAATGAATACATCTAATAGTACAGTTAATATGTAATGTAATTACAATAGAAACTACATATTTTCCAAATAATATTTTTCATATATAATATAGGTTCCTTTAAATTTAAGGGTGGGAGTCTCTTGCCAGAGCATATTCATTATTGACCAGCTTAATCTAGCTAGAAATCATGTAAAAGGCAGGATAACAAATAGGTTTGTTGTATAACGAACTACTGTCTGGAAATATTAATTAATTTAGTGCACTTTTAAATTAGGCTAATCTTTTATTTTTATATTTTCTACAAATATGAGTATTTTTCATTTTTACCCCCCACAAAATTTATTTTGTCAATTTTTATTATATAGCTATCATACTGTAACTCCATGCAATGCGAAACAATACTGATTGGTTTGTTGTTTTCAACACCATCAATTTTGTAAATTCAACTAAATCAAATAACATTATCTTGGTGACAGAAATTGATGTAGAATATATGAACCAAAGGTTTATGTTTGCAAGGTACAAAATGAAGATGTGCAAGATGTACATAGATGTACAAAATTGACCCAAAACACACTCAAACTGGCCTCGAGTGAAGAGGCCATCCATTTTTGAGCCCTGCTTACTATGGCAACCAGTGTAAATTACTGGATATTTCCTAAACTGTCTGAAAAAAACTGAAAAAAGAAGAAAAACAAAACAGTGTAGGCAGTTCAAATTGGAATTGCAGTGTGCATAAAATGCTGTTGTTTTACATATCTAACCCTGGACCACAAAACCAGTCACAAGGGTCAATTTTTGAAAATTCAATCATCTGAAAGCTGAATAAATAAGCCTTCCATTGATGTATGGTTTGTTAGGATAGGACAATATTTGGCCGAGATACAACTCTTTGAAAATCTAGAATCTGAGGGTGCAAAAAAATCGAAATATTGAGAAAATCGCCTTTAAAAGTTGTCCAAATGAAGTTCTTAGCCATGCATATTACTAATCAAAAATGAAGTTTTAATATATTTACAGTAGGAAATTTACAAAATATCTTCATGGAACAAGATCTTTACTTAATGTCCTAATGATTTTTGGCATAAAAGAAAAATCAATAATTTTGACCCACACAATGTATTTTTGGCTATTACTACAAATATACCCCAGCGACTTAAGACTGGTTTTGTGCTCCAGGGTCACATTTTATAACAGTGTCAGTGCCTTCTTTTTTCTTTGCAGCGCTTCTCACATGATGACCCACCACAAGAGAAAGAGCTATAACTGCACTCAGTCTGGCTGTCACAAAACCTACGATGACAAGAACTCCCTAAAACATCACTGTGCCTCTCGACACGGAGTCCACCTCACGTCTCCTCCCTCCTCCAGACTCTCTTCCAACTATAACCTGCCGGCCTCAGCGTGGGAGCCAACGGTTAATCTAACTGCGTCTGACTACCTCTTTACCTCTCAACCAAAGCCTGTTTCAGCTCCTGTGCGAAAGAATCCCAGTTATTCTGGAAAACTCTTCGGTTCTTATGACACAGGAGATCTTGGGATGGGGCGCCATGCAGAAGATGCCCATTCCTCTCAGGTTAAAAATTCAACATGTCAAGAAAGCTGGACTTTAGCGTCTGCCAGTGACTCTTATAAGGTCGAAGAAAGCAATAAGATGCTAAACTCCACCCAGTGGACTCTGGGTATCGAAGAAAATCCAGTGGTTGCACGGAACCCATTTGATGTCCATGTTTTAGAAACCTATCTTGATTTTCCTGAATCTTACCCAGAAGAATTGAAAGAGATGCTCTCATTTCAGCCTAACAGAGAGGCACCTACCACCAGCGTGAGTTGCCCTGTGAGGCCACGAGCTTCAGTTTGCTCCAAACAGCATTGTCCCATACTGCTGAAACACAGTCAGAAGGAGCCCAGACCTCCGAGCAAGTTAAAGCGACGGCGCACCTTTTCCAGTTATCCTGCTGTATTATACCCTGAACCAAAGAGTGATTTTGACTGTAATCTTGCCGATCCTGGCCATGCAGAAGATGCCCATTCCTCTCAGGTTAAAAATTCAACATGTCAAGAAAGCTGGACTTTAGCGTCTGCCAGTGACTCTTATAAGGTCGAAGAAAGCAATAAGATGCTAAACTCCACCCAGTGGACTCTGGGTATCGAAGAAAATCCAGTGGTTGCACGGAACCCATTTGATGTCCATGTTTTAGAAACCTATCTTGATTTTCCTGAATCTTACCCAGAAGAATTGAAAGAGATGCTCTCATTTCAGCCTAACAGAGAGGCACCTACCACCAGCGTGAGTTGCCCTATGAGGCCACGAGCTTCAGTTTGCTCCAAACAGCATTGTCCCATACTGCTGAAACACAGTCAGAAGGAGCCCAGACCTCCGAGCAAGTTAAAGCGACGGCGCACCTTTTCCAGTTATCCTGCTGTATTATACCCTGAACCAAAGAGTGATTTTGACTGTAATCTTGCCGATCCTATACTTGATTCTCCTCCTGCAACATTGCCTAACAGTAGGAAGAGGAAGTCCTGCTCTAAGGACGTCCTGCCTGTTGTTCCAACTCCTCCACTGCCTGTTCCTCAGCCCACTTGTCATAAACGTTCACGACCACGCTCTTCCTACCTTGTCTCACCAAGTCAAGTGGCACTTGCATCCTTCAGCACTTACCTCGGAAAACAGTTTTTACAAAAGGTACACAACATTGCACTTTTTCATATGCCATCATAATCTGTGTTTTGATAATCAGTGTTTTACATTTCATTGTGTAGGAGCCTGTTATGAAATCAACAGGAGAGGAACCAAACGCTGGTTGCAGGTTAGAAAATGATCACTCTGACTTGAGGGCAAATATGAATCTATATAGTAGTTATATGTAACATTTTAGAACACTGAAAAAGTAGAAAAATATATATCAAAAGATACTTTTGGATTTGAATGATTTTTTCATCATTGAAATCACAATTGTATAATTTGCTGTTATTTTGTGGTTTCCACAACTGTGGGAACCCTAACTATTGCAATTCATATTAAAATATTAAACAAAAACTAAGCGATTGAAATAATGAATACATCTAATAGTACAGTTAATATGTAATTACAATAGAAACTACATATTTTCCAAATAATATTTTTCATATATAATATAGGTTCCTTTAAATTTAAGGGTGGGAGTCTCTTGCCAGAGCATATTCATTATTGACCAGCTTAATCTAGCTAGAAATCATGTAAAAGGCAGGATAACAAATAGGTTTGTTGTATAACGAACTACTGTCTGGAAATATTAATTAATTTAGTGCACTTTTAAATTAGGCTAATCTTTTATTTTTATATTTTCTACAAATATGAGTATTTTTCATTTTTACCCCCCACAAAATTTATTTTGTCAATTTTTATTATATAGCTATCATACTGTAACTCCATGCAATGCGAAACAATACTGATTGGTTTGTTGTTTTCAACACCATCAATTTTGTAAATTCAACAAAATCAAATAAC